CCTTTTCCGCTGTCCATGTAGCATTTCTATTCATTTGTCTCCCAGGTCTGTTACTGCTGGTGCCCGCCCTTTTCCGCTGGCCATGTAGCATTTCTATTCATTTGTCTCCCAGGTCTGTCACTGCTGGTGTCCGCCCTTTTCCGCTGAATTCCCAACTAAGGATGGATAGTTCTTGCACCGAAGCAGCAGATGCTAACATGGATTCTGCCTGATGGCCAACATAGGGCTATGTTTTGCTCTTGCAATGGTCCACGTTAGACTCAACAGCGTCCAACCTTGCCCAGGATTTCCCCGGCTTGATTCCACATCTTTTCAATACTAAAACTAGCCAAATGCAGCCACACTAGCACGGCACAAGGACGTTTATATGTTTCTTTGATGTTAGATTTCACTGGTGTATTTGCATTTTCGGGAAACCCAAGTGGAAATAGAATTACGATAATCCAAACTGATCCCCTGTTTGGTCATGAAGTTTTGGTGAACTTAATACTCGTGGGGCCCATGGGGCCTATTTGCACGTTGGTGATGCCCTCCTTGCTGCAAGCCAGAGATTGAAGCCGATTGGGCCTTTCTGTTGTGCGCAAAGTGAGGCACTGCATGTGCTTGACTGCCTTTCCAGTGAACTTGCCCTGGATTGTCGGACAGCGCTCGATATCAAAGCCTTGAGAGACTCGCTAGCGGACCCTGCCTCTGCTTGTTTCTGATGAGAAGTGAGCGCGCAAGAGGCTGAGAAAACATTGACAGTGGGTGAGTCGAATGAATCTTGACCGCCGTCATGAATCCTTTTGTAGTGATCCCATGTCCAACCGAATGGAGGCCCTTGTGGCCCAAACCTCCAGTTGAAAAGGTTCGCCTGCAGTGCATTTTTGCTGCATGGTTGCGTCCACTTCAAGTTCTGGCCACGAAAGCAAGGAAGTCAACCGCCCTCTTTGCATTGCAGAATAACAGAGGCAGCACTGTAGCAGGAAGGACCGGATAGCAGGTTCTTCGACCATTGCCTACTTTGTTCTATGACTCTTTGAACAGCGCGCTCACTTACGACCATTCAATTGGCCATCTTGCGGGGTGGGGGGTGTGAGTACACTTGCCGTTGAATAACTTAAGGGCCACAAAAACATCATTTGCCAGCAAGCAAATTCAAGCACAAGGATCATGAGCGGAGGGTCCACAGCTACCGTTACAAAATAACACAGCCAGTGTGTGGTCCGTAGCTCTGACAGTGCGCAAAATAGAACAAACATTCACTTTTTTCTGGTCTGAACGAAACTATGCAGCCACACCCTATGAGGGGCATTCTGACAATGGCAAGTGGTTTACGGAGAGCATCCGCACCTGCATACTGTGGATAGTAGCAATAGCTCGCTTGAAGTCACCTCTGATGCAGTATGCTTTCACCTAAGTTGCTTGCACTGCAATGTAAAGTGCTTAAGTGCATGTTGCCATCTTTAATCGTGTCATATCGTTTCTATGCACTGCTACGCTGCATTCATTGTCTTGAATAAGCTAGGCACGATGATCGAATGAGTAATCCTGTCCGGCTTGATGCCTTCTTCAGACATTGCACTCATGATCTCAGTCACCTCCTTTCTATGCGTGTAATCATACGATCTCACAGTGTCTGAACGCAAGAAAACAGGATACACGAGAAGTCCGCATTACCAGTCCTCCACATTTCCCAGCCGAGCCTCCAAGAGCCCGAGAAGTCGAAAGGAGAAAGACCACTTAAGCACATGCGGCTACAAAGGATTGCAGTTCATCACCGACCTGTGAATCAATGACAGAATTGTAGCCGACTGTGTTCATCGTCAAGCCCTTCTTCCGCATGCTTCTCCACAAATCCATAGCTCCTGTCGCCCAAAGCAAAGTGCATGCGGCCCTCTCGGCCAAAAATGGAAGAACTTTGGGGCAAAGTGGGACTCGCGACGAGTTGGGCCAAGCATCGCTTTGGCTGATGAGTTGCTGCAAAGCCCTTGAAAAGGATAGAGTACCTGTGGGCACGATTTCAACATGCACGATCGCTTACTAAGGCAGAAATGGTGCGCTGTGCTATCCTTGGCCTTGGAGAACGCAAGACTATTCAAAACAACCATCCATGGACTCCGAGGTGCAAGATCACGTTTGGTGCCGTGGAGTATTCGTAAAAAATACGTTCTGCATCATCTACCAAGCCATTGCATACTAAGGCATCCAGCATGCAACCAATCACAATGTGTGTCGGTGTCAAACCTCGTTGATCTGTCATCTCCTTCCAAATTTCCCAACATCTGTCCGGTCTCTTCATGATCCCATATGCTTTGATCAGAGATCCGTATGTTGGTGTCGATGGACGGATTTTGGATTGCTCAAAGGCTTCCAAGATCCCATTCATCCGCTTCAGCTCTTTGTGCCGAATGCCGGTCTCCAGCACAATATTCAGAAGGATTTCATCCTGACAAAGATCCTCAGAAGTGTTCCCCAAACGTTTCAGAGCAAACCCAAGCAAGGTGAGAAGAAACACGACTCCAATTATACATTCTGAGAGCAAGACGACTCCAGAGCGATCCAGTAGATCAAAGCATTTTGCTGCATGGCCTGGTGGCGTGGTCCTTTTGAGAGTTTTCATGATTGTGGATATGGTGTAGCGATCAGGGCGTACGCCCTTGGACTCCATGGTCTTTACCAGGTCCCAAGCTTCTGACATATTGCCAGAGCTCACAGCAGCATTGATCAAGCAATTGTAAGACACATCATTGGCGGCAATTCCTCTCTCTTCCATCTCTTGCATCATCAACCGGGCGCCTTTCACATCCCTTTGATTGCAAAGGCCCTTGATCATGGTGTTGTAAGTGATGATATCTACCATATTCTGCGGACGCATGTCTTCCATCAATTCTTTTGCACTCTTCATATCACCAGCACGGACACAAACATCCAGAACACAGTTGAAGGCAGCAACGTCAGCCGACACAGGACTTTTCTTCAATCGTTCAAACACGGCAAATGCTCGGGCAACATCACCGTCACAGCCAGCAGAACGTATCATCGACATGTAATGCTGAATGTCAAGGCTTGGCACTTTTTCCGACAACTCTTGTAGGAGAGACTTGCGCCCACACTCGACTGCAAACTTCATAAGACACCCGTACCTTGGTTATCCAAGGCTCTTTCATGCTTTCCGAAAGCCTGCCTGTCTTGCCTTTTAAGCTTGCCAAAGTTTAAAAGTGTTGTGAAAAAGAAAAATATGTGGTTTCCTCGAGCGAGTTGCATCATCGCATCAGGCTCAACACCTTCCCGTTTGATCTCTTCATAGAGATCGCATGCTTTCTCGTACAACCCAGAATATGCATACACTTTCATCAAGGCACTGTAGACTGACAAAGTCATGACCTGCAAAATAGGGCTCTGACCTTGATGGCTGATCAATCTTGACAAAGCCCTTCCGACTTCTCTTCTTGAATTCTTAAATGCCGGTACAAAGTACAGGAAGCTGCCACGTCTGCAAACTCACACGGTGAAGAATTCCAACAAAGTCTAGATTGGGACTGTGATTCTTCTGCCAATTTTCTTGTGTATATACTACCCCCCTAGTACCTTCCTTGGATGTGATTACCATGGTCGAACTTCCCTTATTTTTATAGTGTGTCAGAGAACAACTTGGACTTTACATGGTTTCATTGTGCTTCTTAAGAATAAATGAGCGAACAACTCCACCTTCACAAAACCAACAATATCCAGAGCCTTCGTTTATCTTCATGCTTTATCCACACAATAAAACCCTTACAAATGTCTCTTCCCCGCAAAGAACAGTCCTTTTCTTCAAGCATCCCATCCCTTGTAAACCTTCCTGCACGATAGTCTCCTTTATTGCCTTTTGAAGACGTCTTCCCCTGCAAAATTGAACCTTCCATGGACAACACCTCCACAACTGCTAGAAACTTTTATGGGACGAATCAAAATCTGTATACAATAAAAGAATTGATTTAGACGTGTTGCGCGTGTAAAGAGTCCCCTGAAGACATGGTTCGGTGAATAAGAGCTCTTCACTTACTTCACTTATTGACAAAAACAATAGAATTCCAAGTCCAAGGCTCGATTCATGTGCATAAAGCGTTTGTATGGTCGGTTTTATTTACCAATCTCATGTCTCATCCCCGGAAGAGATTGGAATTACCAAGTACTACTTTCACGATTCGTCGTTTCTTCTTCCACATGTGTTTCAGACACGCCTCCACTGATGCACTTTATTTACTACCACTCTTTAGTTGCAGGATGGTGTCAAAAACAAGGAGCAAACTAACAATAATACAAACTGACCAAACAACCAAACGGAAGAAGAAGGAGCTAGACAAGAAAACTAGTAATGCTGCCAGAACCAAGGACGGCTATGTTTGCCAAAGAGTAGGAGCCAAACAGTCCTCTTGCATCCTGTCCAACTCTATTGGTTTTTGACTCATGTGTCCTCTATATCATTCTTCCTGATTCCTAACCTTTAAGAATTTAGATATGTGCAAATGGAAAAAGTTGCAGCCATACAAACACACAGTGCAGTAACAAAAGAGTGCTGGGAAGAGTTTGCTGCGAAAAGAGACAGGGCTGTGAGGCGCCAGAAAGGGTAATAGCTTTAGTACCTACCTGGAACCAAGAACCAAGATTGCACAGAACTCTTGACGGGAAACTTCTTGGTTCCGGGTTCGTATTAATACCACTTATATATATATAGTACCTTGTCAAAAACAAAGAATTTCTGAAAGAGTTCTGCGCAATTTTGGTTCTTGGTTCCGGGCAGGTACAGCCCCAAGACAAACAAAATCCAGCCTCAAAAATGTTTAAGAAGATAAATGCAAATGCAAAAAAAACACTCAAAAGTTGGTACCGGAGGGGTCTAAGTACCATCTATACGTCTATGTGTATATATATATATAGTTTTTATTTTTTTTACATTTCTTATGTGTTGGCAATAAAACCATGGCACACACTCAAGGCTTGCCTCACTACCCATGAAAGGTACTTGACAGCAAATACCCAAGCTCTACAACACCTTGCCTTTCTGGTTCATGCCCCACCTTGATAGTTCGGCAATGCTTGATGATCTCCTCTGCAAAGCTCAGAAACTTGCACTCTGCGCAGCGCGCCAGCAATTTTACACAGAAGGTCTCGCTGACGCCATCCGAGCCTTCACTGAAAAATTGTTTGCTCGATTGCTCTGATTCTGCACCAGTCTAAACATCTACGGAACCTCATTGTATGCCGTCAGTGACACTGTTACACATGCAATATTGTAGAGTTTGATCATGATCCATGGTTTAAAAAAATAATCCCGGCAAGAGACCCCAAACAGTGTGTGTGAGGTCTGTAAGCAGAAAGTCTAGAGATGATCTAGACGCATTGGGGTCCAGAGAGGTGATGGTGGTGATGAAGTGAAGGTGGGTGTGAGTGAGTGTGGGTGAGAGGGAGCGTGAGTGTGAGTGAGAGTGGGAGAGTGAGTGTGAGTGCGAGTGAGTGCCAGTGTGAGTGAGAGTGAGTGTGGGTGGGAGTGTGAGGGAGTGTGAGTGTGAGTGAAAGTGGGAGAGTGAGAGTGGGAGAGTGAGCATCTGAGAGCACAAAGTACTGCACCTGCCACGAAATCTGTGCCTGAAACGAAATCTGCACTTCGAGGTGCACCATGCGCTGCACCTGCCACGAAATCTGCACCTTGAGGTTCACCAAGCGCTGCCCCTGCCACAAAATCTGCACTTCCAGGTTCACCAAGCGCCGCACCTGCCACGAAATCTGCACATCGAGGGTCACAGAACGCTGCGCCTGCCACGAAATCTGCACTTCGAGGTTCGCCAAGCGCTGCGCCTGCCACGAAATCTGTACCTCGAGGTGCACCAAGCGCTGCACCTGCCACGAAATCTGCACATCGAGGGTCACAGAGCGCTGCGCCTGCTACGAACTCTGCACTTCGAGGTCCACCAAATGCTGCACCTGCCACGAACTCTGCACTTCAAGGTCTGCAAACGAGCCACATGTCCAAAAGTCACGATTCACTGCACCTGTTCTGAGCTCCTTGACGATCACCACCATGTCCAAAGTGCTGCACCTGCCACGAAAACTGCATTTCGAAGTAAAACAGCTCCGATCCCTTCCACCTGTCACGAAAAGTCGACTTTGGAGCACCACACGAGGTTTCCCTTGCGCCTGCCACGAAAAGTCACCACCATGTACTAAAATGCGCACGGCGCCACAACGGGAGCGCAATCGTTAGAAGCACCCGCCGCAGACACCCAGATTCTGCGAGCCTGCGGATTGACGATATCGAGAGGCATGAATGTACTGCGCATAGCAGCGAATTAGCCGTTCACGCCCGCGCGCTTCAGCGATCTAAGCCCCAGCTGCTTTTGCACTACCGTAAGAACCCTTCAGTGTGCCCACACTGTTTGGGGAAATATTTATATATATGTATATATGTGTGTGTGTGCGTGTGTGTGTGTGCGCAAAGGAAAACGCGCCTTTTATCCGCGAGGGATTGGGCCTAAATGCCTGCGCGTCATCCTTGTGCCTGGGTGGCTGCTATGATCCATCATGGATTTCTGTCGCAGCCCCTCCGGATTCACACTCAAGATCTTGTCTTTCTCTTCCTGCTGGATCCATAAGAGTGCAGCGTCAAGGTGTCTCACTCTTCCAATTCCTTGTCTTTGGACCATGGCACGGGCTGCTGATCTATCAGAGCGCACCTTCGCGTCGACCTCCCCCTTCACCAACATCATCCAGAGATGCCGCACCAGTAGCCCATCAGAGCAGCCTCCAACCATAGCGACAAATTTTGATTCCCCTGATGATAGGGAGATGCTCTTCTGGCTTCTGACACGGGATTCCATGAGGTTCCCTCTAAGAACACTTGGAATGAAATAAGTAGCGCTCTTCCTGTCATCTTTGTTTCCTGCGTAGTCGGCATCTGTCACAATCTCCAGGAGGTGTTTCTCCTTATCTTCAACCTCCTAGCCTGATTCCAAATCCTTCTGTGCCTTGAAGGTACGAGCAGACGTGGCAAGCTGTCTTCCAGGCGGTTTGGCCATGTGTCTTGTCAAGCTCTGAATTGCAAATTGAATGACATGTACATGAGGCATCCAACCACACTTCGAAACTTCGTGACGCGTGTTCCCTGTAGCTCTTCAGCGGTGTCCTTCTTCATGTTCTGCTCCAGGGGTGTTTTCCGGTAGAACTTCTTGAAGACATCAACATCCTTTGCAACGCTCTCGTACTGCTTGTAATCACATCTCATATCGCAGTGGTCATGCGACAGCTTGAACTCCCGCTTCAGGTAGTGGAATCTCTCACCCATCTGGAACGGTCTCCCTTCTCTTCTACGTTCCACTTCATTTTCTCTTGCAGGTACTTCACAAAGTTCTTCAACGCCGTCTCCTTGCCCACCATGAACACATCATCCACGTGAACCGTGATGTATATCTCCACGTCTTTCATGAACAGAGTGGGTTGCATCACGCCCTGGGTGAGTCCAAAGTCTTTGCACGCCCTGGCGAACAGATTGAACCATTGGGAAGCAGCGGTCCTCTGAGGTGGTTGAGCAATTTTGGAACCACAAGCATAGATTTTGGAGCGAATGTTTGTTCGAGGTCTATGCTGGCCTTGAACTGCCACAAGTCTGGCACGTCGATACCATCCTCCTTGCTCTACTCGACGCTTCCAGCATACCACGAACTTCGTCGAGATGATGTATCCATCGTTGCTCCTCACATCCTCTTCAGTGGATTCTTCCGTCGCCGGAATCTTCTTCAGCCGATCCACTTCACGTTGCTTTGCCTCTTTGTCCATCTCCTGCAAGCGCTCATCGCTAGTGATCGGAGGATCATCTGCCTCATCGTTGGCATAGAGCAGTTCATCTGTGAGGTCTGTGGAAATCAATCCATCATCCATCTCTTCATCACCACGAGCTTCAATATATTGTACTCCTGCATATTGTGGTGGATATAGTCTTGGGATCTTGCTCGGTGATGATGCCACAGTATGCTCATTGCCTTCTGCTGTCCCCCTTTCTCGATTCCTGAGAGCATACTTGTCTCACCTTCTTCAATTTTCTGCTTCTTTTCATTCTCCTCCTCCGGGACATCTTCATTCTCCCTTTTTTCACGCCCTCTTCTTGGTGATGTCTCAGCACCAAACGTCTTCAACTCCGGCTCCTCTTGCTCACCTCCTTCTGCCGCTCTCTTCTGCCTTGGTGTAAGTGTATTTGTCATGGGCGCTGGAGTCATAGGTGCTGCAGTTGTGATGCCAGGAGTCATTGGTGCCCTTGATCCTGGCGCAGGTGGGACTACTCCTGCAGCCACTGCATCGGTAACTGCCTTCCGTTCTTCTTCTGATGCCTCGCTCTCCAAGGTCGGTTGTCTATACCTCTGGGCTTGTCCTCCATGTCTCATCATGATTCTTTTGGGGTGAGTAGCTCCATGGTAAGCCCTTTGCAATGACCATGTCGGTTGCTACGAAGCTCTCTTCCATCGCCAATCTCCTGCTTCAAAGGACTGGAACAGCATGTATTGCCTTGGTCTCTGATGAGGTCATAATCAAGCATGTACCAAATTGGTCTGACCTTTCTGCCACTTTGTCTGGAGGTCTCTCATCGAGTTCTTCTCGAACTTCACGGTTGTCCTCCTTTGCCCTGCTTGCAACACATGCCTGACACCACATGCGTCACGAAGTGTGCTTCCTGCTCCTTCATGGGCGGTAGTTTGGGTTGGCCCAAAGTCATAGGCGTCCTCTGTCGCTCCTTGAACCGTTTGTTGGCAATGGACAGCTTTAGCTTGTTCTCAATGTTCACCTTGAATGCCAAGAGTCTGTCCAGGAGTCTTCTTTTGCTGCCAGTGTACGGTAGGTCCCGTTCCTTGCACGCTAATTGCAGGTCCTTGACTGACATCTTGTCCGTATAGATCACCTCACCCAGCTCAATCTCATCTGGCTTCTTGGCCGCCATCATCTTTTCGACGTCCTGGGCTTCGGGATACGGATTGATGGGGACTTCAGAATCCAGCTCCCAGTAGTTCTCCATTCCCGATGGTGCGAAGAAGCTAAGTGTCCTCAAAGGTCCTCCTGTTCCAACACGTCTGAATACACCTGAGCCCAAGTCCAGGTAGTTGTCGACGTTCTCGATCTGACTCCACAGACTCCAGCGTCTTTCACCAACGTCATCCTTGCTTTCCAGCGCTCCTCAATCTGTCCTCGAGGCTCTGTTAAAACGTTGCAATGGGGTCACTGTAAGCCACAATGCCATTGGGCAGTCGATGCCAATCAGGAGCCATTTCCAGCTCCTCAATGTACTTGCTGAAGGTCCCACGGAGTGCCATCACATGCGCTGTAGTCATACCATCCTTCTTCTTGTCCTCTTCAACCTGGTTGACCACGAAGATCCACGAAGATGTTGGCGGTGAACTGCAATGAATTTCGCTCATTGTTGATAGGCACTGAGACATTCTTCTCCCCGCGCATTAGACTCAAGCCATCTGATGTGGGACAAATGCTCCATCCTTTCCTCAAAAGCTTTCCTGTGCATAGGATGGGGCGCTGTACGTTGCCAAGCACGAACTCCTCTACAAGCTCGATGGTCTTTCGTTGGCTATCTGTCATCCTCAATCTGGCTTTTGTCACTCCATCATGAGCTATCCAGCTATCCTCTTGCCCTGAGCATCAATCATCTTAAACTCCTTTGAGCCAGTCCTCCATTGGCCCACATCAACATAGGCTTTTGGCAGAGCAGACACATCTGCGCCACTGTCAAGGGCACTCCCTCATCTCTTACAATCTGCACGAAGGTCTCCTCTTCCTTGTCCTGTAGGTCCATGGCCACAATGACAGTACCATCTGGAACTAGCACTGCCGGTTCTATGCAGTCCATGAACACGTCGTACTCATCCTGGATGTCCATGTAGATCTCCTTGTCCTCCTCAGCTAGGATCATGCCCACGCCACGGATAGCGTGCTTCTTCATCTGAGACTCTGGGTGTTGTCAGGTCAAAGATCGCGTCTCCAATCGAACCATCTTGACTGAAGCCGATGTCACCGTCTGTCCAGTGAGTCCTGCAGACGACGAACTTGCTCCACCTGGATTGCTCTGGGTTGAAGCACCCTGGTCCTCCACCTGGTTGACATTTGCCCGCTTGGACCAACGTCTTTTGCGAAATGTCCCACTTTGCCACAGTTGTGGCATGCTCCAGCCTTTCCTTTGCTTCCTCTTTCAGGACTTTTGCCTTCTTGCCGAAGCCACCCTTCTCCCGTTGGCTCTTTCCTTTCTCACTCCCTTTCCATGATCCTCTTCCTTCAGCTTTTTGTGTCTTTGCTCTTCCCTTTTCCTCCTTTCTTCCCTTTGTCTCTAATTCGGTTCACCTCCATGGGCGTGGCCTCATCAATGCCTGATCTTGTCGGAAGGCTGAGGCTATTGGAAGAGTCCCATCTCGTTGACAAAGCTTCTAACTCCATCACCTCGTTCTTCACTTGCTCATAGGTTGCGCTGTCTGTGATCCATAGATGTAGATGATCTCGAAGGTGTGGGGGCACAGCTTGAGGAGAACTTCCAGTCACTCCACATCTTCAATTCCTGATCTCTTGTCTCTTGTCTCCGGCTTGAAGAGGTCAGGGTTTTGATATGTCTTGACCATGTTGAGGTCGTTTGATTGACTGTCAGGCGCTCCAAGGCCTGTGAGATCATCCTCAAGCTCTCCTCCGCCATAGTTCCGAGCTGTGGGATGGTCCCAAAGTATGTCTTTGTCGTCTGATTGGGCTCGTTCTCGTCCTTCTCAAGGTCGAAGCCGCCGTAGCCAAGCAAGCTGAGAAGATCCCAGTTGGCCAATAGCTCACAAACCTCTTCCTTTGATGCTTTGTCTCTCACCTTTTCCACTTTCTCAATGAACTTCCAGCAAGCCGGGACTACAACAACCAGCTGCTTCACGTCCTTCTTCTTTTCTGGCCTTTCTTCACCTGGATGGTCAGGGATGCTCTGACGTTCCTTTGGCTCTTCGACCAGCGGAGTCGTCCCACGTAGCCCTCTGCATCCACGACCACGGTGTGTACCCTCCTCAGCTTCCACTTGTTCTTGAGTGCCACCGCGCTCCCAGGTTGGTAGTATCTGATCTCCTGGCTCGAATGGTCGCCTGCTGCACCAGCTATACAGGCCAAATCCAAAAGCTCTACCAGCCAGAATCCTGCGTGCCCTGGATCTCCTCGTGGTAGCTGTGGCGAGGGGCTCAAAGTCGTGGTGCGAGGTGCCATGGGTAGGGAGCGCCGGCACTTTACGGCCAGCGCTCCGCTACCATGAAAAGGAAAACGCGCCTTTTATCCGCGAGGGATTGGGCCTAAATGCCCCGGTTTGTGTGTGTGTCATCCTTGTGCATGGTGGCTGCTATGATCCATCATGGATTTTTGTCAATATGTATACATATGAATAAACTCACACGATACCTCTCCCAATTGTCATGATCAAAACCCATATCTGCAGCCTTCCTTCACCATCAATGCTTTGACTTCACCGGCCCAGAACCAAGGAACGTTGAAGCTCCTTGAAGATTACAATGGCTCTCTCATCAGAGCCAAGCCTAGCAAGCTGACGTCAGCAGAGCTAAACTTTTTTCTTGTACTAGATACTGAAACCTCAGAATAGAAATATAGCTTGCATGCTTCAGGCTAGGATCATGTAGACTTTGATCAACATCTCATAGAGCTGAGGAGAGATGGTCGTTCTGGTGGATCTCACAGCAGTCTCCACCTAGACGAGGACGGGAACTAACTAGGGAAACTCTTGAAACTAGTCGAGTGCTTGAAAAGAGCACAAGTGCATTCATGCCTTCTCGGCCAACTTGAGGTTGCTCGTTCGCACACAGTCCACTAAAATAACACAATATGCTTCCACCGAAATCTCCAAGTCGTTCTTGCTGGCTGCTTCCAAGAACTCCTCGCTTCGACCAGCCTTTGCACGGGCTGATTTTTTTGTCGAACATCGCTTTTCTCTCTCGACTCAGAACGGGGCCTCGCCAGCGACTCGAAAGAACTGTGCCACAGCAAAAGATGGTATTTCATAGCTGCTGCCTTTCATCTCCATAAACTTCTCAAAGACCTCAATTTCTCAACTTTGCAAGCGAACACTGCCAATACAGCTGCAAGTTAAAGTAAAGCCCAGCCTGGTCAACCAGGCCGTTCTTCAAAGTATCCCTTGATGATCAAAGACAATCCCCGAGGTGATAATCGCATGTGCTCCTTTTTCATCATCTTCTCATAGAGCCGAACCTTCTTTATCTCTGCAGTGCTTGCAAAGCCACCCAAAATGACATCATAACTGCAACTGCTGTGCTGGATTCCTGAGCGCGGCGTGGTTGCCAACTCGAAGCGCTTTGAGTCTTTGAGGCTTTTGATATTTTGGGGAATCTGTGAATTGTTCAAAATATGTTGGTCGCCTGCTTGTGGCGGCAGCTCCCAAAGCTCTTCCATCAACTGCGTCTTTCCTGAACGCGCAACGACGTCCAGGATGGTCATTCCAAACCCGGAGAAAACCTGCACAAATGATGTCAAACACAGGGTTAAACACAATCAAAGCATTGAATCCTATCAAACACAATTGATTCTCATGTCAGTTGGGAGGACTTGGGGTGCCAGCCTTGTCATGTTTCTTGATATGCGAGATCATCTCCTGCATGCAGTAGAGTTCTGGAAACAACCAATTGCGCAGCACGTGATGATTGCAAAGCAGTGTTATCTATATACCAACAAGTCCTTGACCAAAGCGTTTGGTTCTTCATCTACGAAAGCTTGCACAACGATTCTCAATATGTCCTGCGTGCGAGGGCCCATGACTTTCAGCAAAGCTCACAAACAGGCACAGCACTTCAAGAGACTTGAGGTTTGGATTGGGAAGGCTTCAGAGAACAATGAAAAATTCAACCTGGAGTGACAAACTGTGACACTGAGCGGACCTTAGTTGTGGGAGCATCGTCTTCTCCAGCACGCCAAGCCTGGAGGCCAAACTGACTTGTGGCAAGGCCGGACAAAGCGACTCTCCTAGAGCACGACTCTCTTCGGCTCTTCTCTTTTCGGGTTTCGCCTTAAGGACATTGACCCAGTTGCCAGCTGACGCCTGTCCATTCAAACAAGTGAAGGATGAATGGAGAGCTGCAATTCACCCATTTTCGGATCTAGTTCCACGAAAACTGTTTTAAAAACAATGGATCAGATCGGTATGGCTTTGTTTCGATCCACCTGTCTATGGAATGCAGCCCAATCCCAACGATCCGATCCCCCCTGCCATTTGTGTCAGCATAGCATCCTTCGCCAAGGCAAACCCACGAAGGAAAACAAACAAAAATCCAGCCTTATTAAGTGTTCGAATAGGAAACACAAATACGATGTTCCCGAACAATAGAAGAGGACAGTAAAGGGTATCTCAAGAAAACCAAAAAGAAACCAAAGAAGGAAAAAGAAAAGAAACAAAGACCAGAAGCAATCGTGCCTCTGTTTCAATGATGTTTTTCAATTTCATGTTGAACTGGGCGATGTGCTTCGCCATGCCATATCTCCGCTTCAAATGACCACGTCCGAAAAAACCACAAAGGCCGTTTCTAAGAATCAAAAAGCCTCGAGACTGATCTTTTGAATCTGAACTGAAAAAGCGCTTTGAAACATATTGCACACTTAGTGTACAGTTTTAAGATCTTTAAGAATGTGTTTTTTGGTCAAGCAACCCAACGCAAAGGAAATCACAAAGGCTAGCTCTATCCACGTAGTAGCCACTCCAGCCCGAGCAAGAAAGAGCCAGTTTGTGGCCATGACGGTATGGATTGAATGAAGTTCAAAGCTTCTGGTGAGAAGAACGTAATGCTGAACTTTTCCCGAATGGGACGAAATAATGTAGAACCTTGGTTTAAAAATGCGCCCAACTATTGTCTCAAAGTGTCCATCCTGCAACTCGCACGCGAAAGCGTTTCTCACCTATGTGCTGCCAAGTTTCCGTATGTTCACCGTACTGATCAGACCAAAGTTGGAAGATTGCCGACAGGCGAGGCAAACTTTGAGGCGTGCACAACGGCCACCAAAATCAAGTTCAAACCATAACTGTATTTGGACTCATTGCAATCGACACAGAATGCGATTGCTCCATTTGGTTCTTGACGTAGCTACACGACAAATGTTCAATACAAGAAGTTACAATACAAAAAATGCTTGACTTTGGACCTCCGACCTTGTAAATAACTACCAACAATCTATCAACTCAACAAAAAACTTGCCCACCCCATTGACATGCACACATTGTGGTAGGGAAATGCACGACTAGCTTCACTGAAAGTGACGAAGTTGTCACTAGGTGTTTCAAGAAAAAATTAAGGTTTTTCTGGGCGTCTTGAAAATTGAACTTTGAACTTGTGACCTTTGACATCAAGGGAGGGCGAGGTGGACTTGAATCGACCAAAATGGTCACATCTCCTTTCAAATGCAAAGGGGGTAGATATGAGAGATTCCCACCTGTCAGGGCCTGTCTTTTCTGCATCAGGATTGGAGCTCTATGATCGGTAGTGATAGTGGAAAATTTGGAAGAGGAACGTTCCCTGCTGAGATCCCAATACAGACTTCCGAAACTGGAACAAACGATTTGGTGGTTTACAAAATTGATTGGAACGTTGGAGTGACACATTCTTTTGAACAGTGCAAACCACTTGATCCTGCTCTTCGTTTGCCCTGGGAACAGAATATGATGCAAGGGATTTTCAATGAAGGTTCTGCACTTAGACTGCCTCGGGCGCACAGAGTGGCAATTGAGCGAGAGTTGACGCAGTTGACGCAGGACTCAAAAGCTGTTTTCGACACTGTCAGTGGACAGATCGAAGAGTGTTGTGATGCTGTATTTGCATGCTGTGAGTGACATTGCTGATTTAGACTACATGGAGAACAAGCGAATGTAAACTGGAAGGCATCAGCAATTGGAAGTCAGGTGTGTGAGGACTTGAGATCTGACCCAAGTGGGGACGCTGCAAACGAAATGCTTAGAGCAGCTTTTGGCACTAAAAGCCAGAGGATACACTGCACCTGCGACTTTCCTTGAAACTGCCAGGTTTGCAAAGTTCACTGTAGATTTGCGTGGAGCTTCAGAGGTGCTTGAATCAAGGAGACTTCAAGGCTTCGCTGCGATTGAACAAAGAGAGAAAGGACCTGCCCAGCAAGCTCCACCACTGGAGTTAGAGCATTTACAACGGTTGCACTCAGTTCTATTGAGCGGCTCAAGCATGTAATGACAGGATTAGTGCAGGTTGCATGCTCATCTGCATCTATGCCAGAGCTAGGTGGAGCGATGTCAGGTTCATCCATCACGTGGAGATCGAATTGAGGAGAAACAGGTGCTGTATACCGCTGAACACAAGACTTCGAGTGTTGTTGAAAAACACGAACAGTACTTCGTGGTTGGGAAGGAGTGACTAACGACAACTGGCTGCAGGTATTTTTGGACCTTTAGATTTAGATGGATGCAGGACCGGACATCCACAAGGTCCCGAGTCCCGCTGGTCCCCCTTCTGTCTGCCCCTAGGGGTGTCCTCGGCCACTGACAACGCCTGAAGCTTCAATTTGGTTGAAAGGTCTTTTGAAAGGAACTCGGGATGCCAATTCATACCGTCGCATTCATTGAAAGCAACACTTCTTGCTTGGTGTGCTAGGGCAGGCTTGGACAAAGAGTTTCGAAGTGTCGTAGGCCATCATCGCAGTGCAGTTTCAGTGGATCCGAAGTTGTATACTCCAGGCAACTGCAAGTCAGGCCAATTAGAAAGTTGCAACTTGTGAGGATTGACATGGGTCTTGAGGAGATCGGCGACCAAGGACCCCTTGCCGGAGTGACGCCAGCGGTGAGGACACCTGCCCTGCCTGTTCAGACTCAGGTTGTGAATCAGGACCTGGTTGATGCTATCGAATGCGTGCAGCAGGAAGACAGGACCTCTGCAAAAGAAGAGATCGAGAATGAAGAGGCGGTCATCAACTCAGTTGGTGAACTAAACTTATTGGATCCTTCATTGGTGAATTGCGGACTGATCGAAATCTATAGCTCGTCCGGAATCGACAGTGAGTCTAGCTCTTCCGAAAGCGATGCTATCTCCGAAGGGCGCGTGGGACCTCAGCCATTATTTTCAAGAACATGTCCCACCTGGTGTGAGTCTTTTCAATCATGTCAAGAGTCAGTGAATACACTTTGCTTCTGAAGACTCAACATCAACGAAGTGTAAGATGAAGCTGATAGTTTGGACGTGTGATCCGATTCAAATATCCAAAATGCCTGCGCTGGTTTCCCAAGGAGCAGGGCCGTATCAGAAATCATGATGATGCTGAGGCGGCCCTGGATGCAGCGATTGACAGAGCCAGAGCAGCGAAGAGAGCTCGTGAGTGAAACTGTTTGTGTCGTGCTTTGTACTTGTCTAATCTCTGTCCTTTCCGTTTGCCTGTTTGGTTCTCTTTCAGACTGAGCGTGAATCAAAATACGCTGCTCTCGAGAAACTTGTGGAAATAAAATCCCAAATGAGATTGTAAAATGATGGAGAGACCAGCATGAGGAAAACGAAAGAGCTGTGTTGGCGGAGTTCCATTAATAAACAGGAGTGAGATCATGATTCTTTGCGGTGGCCTGAAATTGTGCAGAGAGCTGCAAGGGACGGAGTGTCCATCGTTGCGAATGACCGTACCGGTCTAGGCTCACAGGAGCATATGTGAGAAACAAGAAGAGGAAGCTGCATTTTCAGCATGTTGTTTTCTCCCGTTTCCACTTTGCCAAAGTGCCTGATTGAGAGTTCTTGAACCTAAGAATTTCATTTGTTCACCAATTCTTCTCAGGAATCGGTCGTCGACAGTGCTGCCCACTTTAGTGCACGGCTTTTGGAAAGTGGGTTGAATCAAGCATCAATAGATGCAATCAAGGCGAGTGGAGCAGATACTTTGTCAAGGTTGGCCTTTGCGGTTGGCCAACCAAACCAACCCTTGGCTCAGTTTTTGCAAACGGCTCTGGGACGAGCGCCTACGCTGTTTTAGACATGCTCCACGTAAGACGTAAGATTGCATTTGCAGAGAGAGCTGCCAGGATGAACGCAATCAAGGCAGCTTTGGGGAACTGGATCCATCTCATCACCTTCTGGATCGGGCATGTTCCATGTACGACAAAAACGTCATTGTTTACCTGGAACCCGCGGCATGCGTGAGCAGGACACTGGAGGTACAAGGAACCAAACAAACCAGAGAGCTCAGCTTGGAAAAAGATGCCCTAGTCTTGAAGCCACAGGACGGCCCAAGCAGTGCAACTGACAGCGAGACAAAACTACACAATGCGCTTGTGAGACGTGGGATAGCTCTGCAGTTTGCAAAACTTATGAGCCATAGTGTGAATGGTCGACATTCTTGTTTGATGCATTGCACCGAGATCCACCCGCAGGGTACAGTTGACCAAATCTGTCACAGTTGCAGTGTGATCTTGCGGCATGGTCGAAACTCAGACTAGGCAGTACTGTGCACAACATTCGACAAGACGAGACTGGACAGTCTCCCTTGGGTCGTGCATTGTTGGCGTTGAGGAGTGACCCATACGGCCCATACATTGTGTTGTACCTAACCCCAATGGCAAAGCAGCCAACACCCACAACAGAGAGCTGGTGGAAGAAGCCTCATCATCCTTATCAACAACAGCACCATGACAACGGTCATAAAGGCAAGGGCAAAGGCAAGAAGGGCCAACACCACCTATGCCAAAAGATCTTCTCGGAAAGTGGCATCGTACAAGTCAAGGAGAGCCCATAGGGCTGCAGCGAGAAGAATGTGAAGCCGGCTGACAGATGCAAGCGTGGATACCACGTCTGTGCCGAGCCCAAGTGCCAGCAAGCTCATGCTTTGCATGAGCATGCAAACAAATGAGGCAGACAATGTTTCAGGCCACATGACTGGTCCCGGCACTCACGTAGGCCAAACTTGGATGCTGGAAGTTTTCGTTGGTTCGGCAATGCTTTGTTCAGTGGCCAAACAGTACGGTTTGAACAACAGTCTGGCCGTTGACAAGGTGCAGAAAGCAGGAGCGCGTGCGAGTGTCATCCAACTGGACTTGACACATGAAGTTGATTGTTCATTGATTGATGCTTGGTTGAGCTCAGGGATGCTGCTTTGGATCCACCTGGCTCCAGTCTGCGGGCCCGCATCTGTGACTGCCCAGATGCTGGAGGGGCGTGAGTTGCACAGGGTACGTCTCGCTAACAAGCTCTTTGAATTTGCATGTTCATTCATCAAGGCTTCAAACCTGGGCATCTTGGTGACAGAGAACCGGAAGAATTCATATTTTTGGAGCACATTATATTTCCTCTCCTTATGGTTGAACTTTACTGCTCAGATGTTCAAATCATGTTGGGTGGTTCAGGTGATAAGTGGACAAGGATTGTGGCAAATGTTGCAACGATTTCGCAGTTGAACATTGCATGTGACAGGAAGCATCAGCACGCACCGTGGAGAGTTGCCACAACGCCGAAGGGCGTCGAGTATGGGCTACAAGCTTAGAATAATATCCTCGTATATAAAATGTGCATCGCTCTGGTTCAGAAGCCCATCGATTGGGCCTCAAGTTGCTGCCGGAAACCTCAAAAAACATAGGAACACATCCGCTGCATGCACAACAGGAGCCATTTCGCAAATGCATCCCTCCTTTGGTGCCCGACTTTGATGCCGTTGTGACAGTCTTTGTTTCCGAACCTTCCGAAGTCCCTTCTTCTGCTTTGAGCAAAACTTCACATGCTTTGAGTTTGCACTCCCCTGAGTTGAGCACTCTTGTCATTCCTGCAAATTCACGATTCCTGCGCTTTTACAGTGCCTTTGAATCCACTTCAGGAGAGAGAGAGAGAGAAAAGGATT